GGATAAGGATTAATGCTGTATTGCTTAAAATCACTTCGTAAATAAGCCATTATTTCTCGTAAAAAGTAAAGGATAAAAAATGGTTAATGTGGGTTATCTCTAAGAGATAGACATATACCATCCAGGACTTTTTTGTAGACCTTTTTAAGATGTAGAATACTGTGGTACATTATCTTGATCTATCTCGTAGGGTTTAGCCAGCGTTTGCAATGTAAGCGCAAAAAAAATGTGTTTATTTACATCACATCACAACCCTCTAAAATTATCAGTGCTTCTCTACTATATTATGCATGTATTATATGTACATATAAACCTTCCTCTTGAATCACTCTATCTATTAAAAAAAAAACTGCATCAAAATCCGTTGCGTAGTTTTAAAGATCTAAGCATACATAGGGACAGACAGCGGGAAAGCGACTTTGTTTTATACTATGTAATGATTAACTGTTTTTATTTCGCCTTCTATTAATTTGTAAGTAGAGTTAGAAGTCGAACTTCTTTCTCTTATCTTGAGGCAAATTTTTATAGGGGATGCACTTGTTTCAGAAAGATTACGCAATGTAGATTCTAGGGACTCTGATCTTGTTTGTTAATAGCGCAATCTAGGCAACCCATTGCAGGCCTCTTGATTCTTCTTCACGTATAATGGGTTACCTACACGGGATTATATTGTAAATTACAAAAACATTGACTCAACTATTGTTGTTGTTGTAAACAGTGACGGTTAATGTTTTTAAGAGGTACAAATGTAAGAAGTTTTGTTATTGAGCAAATCAAGGTCATGGTTCATGTGATTGTGAACTTCCTCTTGTTTTTTTTTACACTTTTAATTGAATGACATTGTGACGTAGAGTTTCCCTTTTGCATTTTCTCTCAGGACCAGTTCATCACCTCTTTTGCGTATACTGGGATATTTTTACATTGCGGTGACTGATGAACTAAGCGATAAAATAGCTAGAGATGTCTATTAATAAGAGCACGTGTTTAACAAGTTGTCAGACGTTACTGCCAAAATTATTTTCGGTGGAAAGATAAATGTGCGCGATTTGTCTCCTCGATCTTTTTCGCTTGATTCCTTATAAACCTCCGTCTCTAATACCCGTGCAAGTATATGTATTGCGTCGAGAAGCCAAACGAGGATGAATACAAAAAACAAAGACAAAAAGTGAAATTGAATCGACGATATATTGACCGACTTGGGCTGATCTGGATTGTAATAGAAACAAACTATTTCCTGTCGTTTTAATCCGTTCGAACTGATCGAAAAAGTAATGAAATTCACTTCAAATATGATAGAAAATACTTCAGTATTCATTGTTTTCATTCTACCTGTATGTAGGACTAAGTGCGTTTATTTATTTTTGCGACTGACAGCTTCCCAGTAATTAGTAAATAAGACAAAAACTAAGACTAAAATATTGGGATAGTCTCGGCCGTGGTCTTGTTTATATAGTATCGGCCTTGGTCTTAGTCTTGATGATATAATCTCAAGCTTAGTCTTGCTGATATAGCCTCATCCTTGGCCTTGGTCTTTCTGATATAATCTCAGCCTTCGTCTTGATCTTGCTGATATAGTCTCGGCTGTGGCCTTGCTGATATAGTCTCGGCCTTGGCCTTGGTCTTTCTGATATAATCTCAGCCTTGGCTTTGATTCTGCTGATATAGTCTCGGCTGTGGCCTTGCTGACATAGTCTCGGCCTTGGCCTTGGTCTTTCTGATATAATCTCAGCCTTCATCTTGATCTTGCTGATATAGTCTCGGCTGTGGCCTTGCTGATATAGTCTCGGCCTTGGCCTTGGTCTTTCTGATATAATCTCAGCCTTCGTCTTGATCTTGCTGATATAGTCTCGGCTGTGGCCTTGCTGATATAGTCTCGGCCTTGGCCTTGGTCTTTCTGATATAATCTCAGCCTTGGCCTTGATTCTGCTGATATAGTCTCGGCTGTGGCCTTGCTGATATAGTCTCGGCCTTGGCCTTGGTCTTTCTGATATAATCTCAGCCTTCGTCTTGATCTTGCTGATATAGTCTCTGCTGTGGCCTTCCTGATATATTATCAGCCTTGGCCTTGGTGTTTCTGATATAGTCCTTGATCTAACTATTGGAAAAAAATTAGTTTGTCTATATTTCCATGAGTTATCCTGACATAGGAACAAAGAACAGGAGTTTACTCCCAGGACAGACTTGTAGACACCATTTTTCAAACAGTTGTAAAGTTTCTTTTTTGTATATTTAGTGTTAAAATATATTAAAGCAACCTGAATTTTTCAAATACTAAAAATGTTTTGTTCCAAGAAAGTAATTTATTTAAGTTACTCCAAATAGTTTAACTCATAAATCCATGGGAAATAATAAAGATTATTTAGCTTATACTGAGGTGGTCACTCTCCTTCCTTACGTGCACAATAAATTTAGCAGCCTTTAGACAAATGGTTTGGTTTTTCACGGCAGTAGTTATGAAGCCATTTGTTTAACGATTGCTGTTGCATTCTAAAACCGTGGATGCTTTGTTTTCAAATGAACGATTGTTTTCCGTTACAGTGAGTACCACATGTCACGAAAAGAAAGAAGAGAAGACAGATTGTCGACTGAAAATCCGGCAGTTTTATTCGCGAATTTCACCGCTGCTTTTCATGCGAGACGCCGGCCGCGGCGTTTCCGAATTACGTGTGGATGTACGCTACGTGTAATTGATGACAAAACGTGTATAAAACTTGATTTATACGCACTTGGTGTAAGCCAACCATAGCGAGACTAATTTGTAGATTAATAACAATAAAATTAAGCAGAAATTGTTTTCCTATTTTCTAACCAGCGACAGTAGAAGTCAGTCATTTATGAAGATAATATTTCATTTATTTTATGGTCTTGTCTACATAGGATTAAAGTAGATTAATTGTCTGGCTGCGCTTATCAATCGTTTTCACGTTTTAATCTCACATTCTAGTTGAAGTATTCCGTTACTTTGGACTGCCTGACAAAATTTTTAGCCGTTCAGAATTAATCCTTCTAGGATCTAGGAGATAAGCCTGTTGTATTAAATTAACTTTATTTTATCGTTATGAAATTATTACAGACAAACAAATTTTAAAACTGTACGTACATACACATGTAGATACCGTTATCTATTGTGTTATTTGTCGGAAAACGTTTGGAAGGTCCACGAATACTATCTATCAACATTAAAGAATTTACGTACAAAGGGAATTCGTCTTCGAGTGTTTATATAATCAAATATATTATTTTGGTTGAAACGAGCACTGCCGGTAGCTCATTAAATCGCTAGTGTAAAGTAATTAGGACCTTAGTGACTTGCTAGTGCAATGCTCGAAACTCATCTTTAAAATTGAGTTGTTTTATTTGACCATTTTACGAATCCTGTTGTGAACGAAGAAAACACCACTTCAACTTTAAAAACTACCAATTCCGTGGAACCCTACATAAATTACAATATATTCTTACTGATAATGAATGTATTACAACAAAGGCATCTATGTAATAAATTCATGTACATGAATTAACTAAAATCATATCTTCCTTTCTTGCTCCAAACAATTTTCTTTTGACATCGTTTTTTCGCGAACGGTTAATTTAGAAATTCGAAAAAGGTTGTTAAAGGTGTAAGTGGAGTTGTACGGTTGTGAAACATGGACAGTGGGCGCGGCGGAAAAGAAAAGATTAAAAGCGTTCGAAATATGGTGTTATTACAGGAGAATGATGAAGATACCGTGGATAGAGAAGGTTAGAAATGAAGAGGTATTAGAATGAATAGGAGAACAGAGGACTCTATGGAAGTCAATAAAAAATAGGCGAGATAGGTTGGTAGGACACCTTCTTAGGCATGAAGGTCTAGTCAGAGACATATTAGAGGCAGAAACAGGAGTTAGGAGGGGTGGAGGTAGGCCTAGGTTAGATTAGACTGTTTGCAAATAGTTAAGGTTGTGGGATGTTCTAGTTTTAAGGGAAATGCAAAGATTAGCTCAGGATAGGAAAGAGTGGAGGTGCGTGTCCAACCAGTCTTAGGACTGACGACCTTATGATAATGATGATGATCCTTTTTTCGCTGTAAATTTCTAGGGAAATATAAGGAAATTTTGGTAAAAACCTAGGAAAATCTGGCAACGCTAATTTTTGCTGGTTATCTCTTTGCTATCGTAAAGTGCGATAAGGCACTTGGTTCCAAATATAAGGAGACACTGTAAGCATGTTCCTAATTCTATTTTAACGATAACATTTGATCGGTTTAACGTACCTACTGATTTTTATGTTCCCCTCGAGTACTTACATACGTTACAACCGGGCTTTACAATATTTTCATCTATATGCACTCAAGAACAGTAGTTCTGGTATAGAACTTTGTAAAATTAATTAACGTTGAAAGTACGACTAAAAGTGCGCATATTGAATGGAATTCATTAAAATTTAAAATCAGCAGATGCAGCTGAATTCAAATGAGTTACCTACCTCTGAAATGCAACTCGAAATTCTTTTCTATTCCTCGACTTACGCTAAATCACAAAGAATTCTAATATCTTTGACAAGAAATGATATTTCGTTAATTACTGTTTTATGTATTTGTTGTTGTCTTTTAGCATATACTGTTATTGTTTTATGTTTTTTGTTAATTATGAACCTTTACTACATCTATTGGAATACAGAGTTACAGTGAGAGAAATTAATTACATTAGGTGAAAGCATACAATGATAAGTTCTCTAAACCAAAATGATAAATAGTTTACCTCTTTGCATTGAAAAATTGTAATGTTGGTGGTTTAATCTAATAGAAGTGCAAAAATTCTAGGCAGAAATGTTATGGAATTCTTATTACTTTATAAAATTGGAATCTAATAATCTTCGAAAAAAATACAAATAAGTTCTAGTTACTCCAGCTATCCATATGGTAATAGGCCCTACCTACCCATATTTTAATTATCAAATTTCATCATTTTATAGTCACAACTATTAATATTAATAATCTTTCACGTACTTCTTGTTTGTTGCAGGAATGCTCCCGTTATTGATAATTAAGAAGAACAGTGGTAAGTACATACGTCTTAATTTCCCTCAGAAATTTTCAATTGCCTAATTAAAAATAATTGATCAGCCCTTATATAAGTACCCTTATACAAATTGATACAGACATATATATTCCTCTTCCCGAGAAAACTTTGTTTGTTCAAATCTTAAAGGTAATATTAGATATTTTCTGCTCATTTTCTAAGTGAACTGCAAGCAATATCATTTTACAATAAAAATAGTACACTTCAACCTGCTGTGAGTATTAAAACTAGTAATCGAGGAGATCATATTTTTCAGAAGCGAGTTCTTCGTAAGTAACTATCATTGCAAAGATATCAAATTTACCTAACTGAATCGAGAAGCAATTGTATTACCATTTATTTAACAAAACGTGAAATACAACAAATCGCTTTTACATCACTATACGATAACGTATATGGCCATACATGCAGTAGCACTTGTTATCCCTTCGTTTCATTATCTAAAGAAAACTCTACTGATAAAGGGAAATGTAGTGAACAGTTGTTTTAAATTAGATGTACACATGTATAATTAAAATAAAGGTGAAACATAAAAAAGCGCTTGTCAAATTTCAAACAAATAATCTAATGATAAAAAAAGTACATAGTATTTTACTGTATGCCAATGCTGTTATTGGCTATAATAGAGAAAACCCCGAAAAAGGCACTTACAGTTTTATAATGCCAATATCTTAAATTCGTGTTAAAATGAAGATTTAATAGAACTTTATTGTAGGTTAAAATAAAGCAAATTATTTAAACATGAAAAATCGCTCGTCAAGTTTTGAGGAAATGGAGATTAAGTATTTAAGAAGATTTAAAAGGTTCTGATCATATAAAAAAAGACGTAGAATTTTATGGTTTTCAGTAAATTAAGACGGTCCTGCACTATTATTGGCTTGAATAAAAAATATAGTCAGGAACTCTAAAGTTACCGTGCTATATAAACATACAAATTCGAAAAAGGCGGGCAAAGCGAACCATCTATAAATGCACCGTAACAGTAATGTGAGTTCTGCGGTCGTTTCTGAGTAGCATTTGGAGTAATTTTCGAATAAAAAGAGTCACAATCACAGGAAAATAGGTGGAAATTATGCAGAAATTAGGAAGAACTGCCGAACCGTACCCAGCTAGTGAACAAAGCGTAGCAACCACAGTGGTAAACGAAGTAAAATTACATCGATAATAGCCTTTTCCCAGCAATTGTGTTTTCAATAAAACATTAGGTTCATAGGTATACCTATTACCTATATGCTGTAATAGTAGTGCATGTCCTGTTTTAATGCTTTGAATGAAATTGTGCTGTGTGACACTCTTTAAGCTTCTTCTATATCCATTAGTCCAAAATGATAAAAATATTAGTGGACTTCTGGTATCATAAACACTGATGTTATATTCAAATATATAACATCAACTCACTGACTTGTATATTGTGATAGTAGTGATAATAACTGATGTAACAAGTGGCTTTAAACTCTTTTATTTTTCCAAAGAGATGCTTCTATAGTATTGGTGATTTTGATGAGTTTTAAGAATTTAAAGTATCAAAATTACCGAAAAATGACAACCTTGGTCTCTTTTACTAAAATGCCAGTAGAGGCAGAAACAGGAGTTAGGAGGGGTGGAGGTAGGCCTAGGTTAGATTAGACTGTTTGCAAATAGTTAAGGTTGTGGGATGTTCTAGTTTTAAGAGAAATGCAAAGATTAGCTCAGGATAGGAAAGAGTGGAGGTGCGTGTCCAACCAGTCTTAGGACTGACGACCTTATGATAATGATGATGATCCTTTTTTCGCTGTAAATTTCTAGGGAAATATAAGGAAATTTTGGTAAAAACCTAGGAAAATCTGGCAACGCTAATTTTTGCTGGTTATCTCTTTGCTATCGTAAAGTGCGATAAGGCACTTGGTTCCAAATATAAGGAGACACTGTAAGCATGTTCCTAATTCTATTTTAACGATAACATTTGATCGGTTTAACGTACCTACTGATTTTTATGTTCCCCTCGAGTACTTACATACGTTACAACCGGGCTTTACAATATTTTCATCTATATGCACTCAAGAACAGTAGTTCTGGTATAGAACTTTGTAAAATTAATTAACGTTGAAAGTACGACTAAAAGTGCGCATATTGAATGGAATTCATTAAAATTTAAAATCAGCAGATGCAGCTGAATTCAAATGAGTTACCTACCTCTGAAATGCAACTCGAAATTCTTTTCTATTCCTCGACTTACGCTAAATCACAAAGAATTCTAATATCTTTGACAAGAAATGATATTTCGTTAGTTACTGTTTTATGTATTTGTTGTTGTCTTTTAGCATATACTGTTATTGTTTTATGTTTTTTGTTAATTATGAACCTTTACTACATCTATTGGAATACAGAGTTACAGTGAGAGAAATTAATTACATTAGGTGAAAGCATACAATGATAAGTTCTCTAAACCAAAATGATAAATAGTTTACCTCTTTGCATTG